CTACCTCTTTTAATGTTTGCCAAGACTTGTTTTTTTCTTGCTGATTCATCATATCTGTGTATGTTATAAAAGCAGTTTTTCCTTAAATGTTTGTCGCAATATGCTTTTATTGGAAACATCAAAGAAGATATTGGAGAGCTAACCCTTCTTAAAGCATTCCAAATTCTTTTTTAGAGCATTGCTAATTATATGATTTTGATTTTGTGTTGAATCTTTATTTAATTGATTCCTTGACACACAGGTGTAATGTATTCCTTCTTCTAGATCTGCTATCTCTAGCCTTATTAGGATGTTTAATCCAATCAGTAATCCAAACCATCTGATATTGCATTATGCAAGACTTCATCTTTCTTTTGTATCTTGTAGTACTTTAAATCTAATCCTTGGATTTTTCCTATTCTAAATAAAGGTGTTCAGTTTTCTTTGTCATTCCTGTGGGGTTTCTCTTGTATGAAAATTGGTATTGACTGAAATAAAAAGTTCAACTTTGGTAGGACATTCATTTTCATAGTAGAAATTCTTCCCAGCCAAGATATTTTTAACTCAATCCATCTAAAGATCTTTTTTGTTCTTTGTCCACATTATTTTATAATGGTCTTGGAATAGTGTATTATTATGTCCAGTCACATTTATTCACAGACTGGATTAGAAGTTATTTCACATCCTGAACATTTTTAAATATTCTTTTCTTGTATGGTTAGAAATTTTAAAATAATTTTATTTTTTCTTGTTAATTATATAACTAGAGAAAGAGCCAAATTTTTCAATTTGATCTGTTATATGTTGCATTGATAGACGTGGAGTTAGACCCATCAGTACTATATTGTCAGCATACTTTTCATTTTGTATTCTTCTCCATCTACATTCAAGCTTTTGATTTTTGCATCTTGTCTTAATTCTGTGGCTAAAACATCCAATATAGGGATAAATAGAAGTGGTCATAATAGATATCCCTGACATGTTCTTTTATCAATTTGAAAACCACTAGTCAGAGCTCCATTTATTAAAATCTTTGCATGGTTGTTTTGTGTAAATTGCCTGAATCCAATTCATGAATCTTGGGCCACAATAACAAAAAGGGTCCTCAACAAAAAGGGCCAAGACACGTTATCAAATGTTTTTTCAGCATCTAAGAACATAAATGTAGATTTCTTTGCAATCCATTTTCTTAATATTTTTGACATTATTGATGTAAAATATTGTAATATACATTTAATAGTGAAATTGGTCTGTAAGACTGTGGCAAAATAGGGTTATTGCCTTCTTTATGTTTCAGTGTAATATGAGGTTCTCGCCATGATGGAGATAGTGATTTCTCGGTATAAATTTCATTCATTACTTTCTGAAGTAGTGTCATTAGTTTTTCTTCTAAACATCATTGTGAAACCCTCTGGACCAGGTGCTTTATCTTCCTTCAGTTTTCTTATAGCTGGTGATATTTCTTGAACAGTACTGCCATTCAGTATTTCTCTATGTTCAGGCATAAAATTTTCAGTGTGTGCTTCTTCTATATATTGCTCAATTCCATCTTCTATAATTGGGTCTTTTTATGCTAATTTGAAAAAAGGGTGAGGGCTGCTCATGTATCTCTTTTTCCATGTAAGTAATTCTGATACCTTTCTTCACCACTGTTATCATTCTCCCTTTAGTTTCTTTCTTACAACAGTTTGCTGAATATCTTCCTGGTTTGTTTGCATATTCAAAATGTTTCGGTTTTAAAAATCTTATTTTTTTCTGTATGTCTTGCCTTTCAAACTTACCTAATTGATTTCTTAATTGTTTATTATGGGCTTATGTCAGAAATAAGGCAAAAGGAAGTAGTATGTCCTGCCCAAAACCTAAAATATATTTCAGGCAAGTTCATATGAAAACTGTTGTGACAAAAAGTCAGAATGAGGAGTCATGAAATTCTCATCTGGAATAATGTCTGTTATAAAGTCACTAGCTGAGCAAGGCATCATCTGGATTTCAGCCAAGCCACCTGTGATTTGGGGCTAGTTCCATCAAATGATCTGCTGCTTATATAAGCTTGTTGAGAAGATGAAGTATCATGAGCATTTGAAAATGCCATATCTGTCCTAGGTGTCAGGCAAAACATCTCCAGATGGTGCCCAAGAACTCTGTTGAACTGGAAACCTCTGGGCCCATCAAATGGAAGCTTCTGTTTGTGAATATTTGTCACAGAACGCCAGGGTGCCCATGAGTAGAAAAGTCCCCCTCTGGTGGTCCACTGGACCGGCCACACTGGCTGCTCCATTCCCAAAGTCACTCCTTCTGCTGCCACCCCACTTAGCCACTGTGCATGCTAACTGTGCAAAAGTGCCTCCATTTGCTCCTCAAGATTGCGGTGGCAAATGGCACCCGACTTGTTGGGAGTGAGGCAGGCAGTTGCTCTTGGCGGGGTTCTTAAGGCCTTCCAGCTGGACTTTAGAGCAGGATCAGGAGCGGGCCTTGGAATGTGGATCCTGAGATGAGAGAAGTGGAGGCACCCCCTGGAGGAAGCCTCTGGGAATGACTGAGATGGACAGTCAGCAGAAGGGACTTGGAATGGCGGCGGGGCAGAGGCTGACAGGGCAAATATGGCTCTTGGCCCCAGGACATGACACTGGGAGCCCAGTTAGAGGATACGTGTACAGAAAGGAGGCGTGCCTGTTTCCAGAAGGCCCCTCTGAAAGGACAGGGCCCAGACCTCATAAGGAGAGTTCCTGGAACTAAATCCAAGACTGGGCTCAACAAACTGCTCTGTGCACTCTCAGAGATCTGTTCTGGATGTTTCTGCTTCTGGAAATTGCTTTGGTCAATAAATAACATTTTGCAGGAAAGGTCCATGGCATCAAATGCGCAATGGGAGGCACCCCAGCTTGTGACACAAACAGAAGGAAGAACAGCCACGTTAACACTGTCTGTAAATTGTTATTAACAGTCTTTCTAAAGCAGCCATTTCTAACTCAGAGCAAAGAGTGTTGTCTCTTGGGAGGCCCCAGCTGCTCAGGAAGGAGAGGCCGTGGGGCAGAGGGTATCGGGAAAGGATGAAGAGAGAGGAGCCGGGCCCCAGGTCCCACATCCCTTGATGCCAGCAGCAGCCAGGCAGAGGCCACAGAGCCCTCATAAGGCATGTGGGCAGTACAGCAGGAAGCACTCAGTGGCACAGCACCTGTTCGACTCCTGGTATCTCCAGGTACAACTGGGAAAGACCCATGTAGGTACCTGTGGAGTTTAAGCTTTGCCCTTTATTCAGAACCTTAAGGGCTGGAACTTGGCTTCATTTTGAGGTCTGCATGCAGATGATGAAGGTAGGTCCAGGCAAGGCTTCTGTCTGAAACCCTGTGGAGAACCTCTCAGGCAGGCTGTTAAATTCAGCGAGGTGGACCAGGACAGCATCCCAAGCCCCTGCAGAAAGCAGAGCCTCCTTCAGAATGAGGACTGGGATCTGTCCAAAGCCTTCAGGAGCCACCAGGTCTTTGACCAATATTCTGGGTGTTGGATATAGTTTGCCACTTGATGGCACCACCTCAGTGTCCTGCCAGTTTACAGACCAGAAGCACCTCTGCAGGCCACATGCTGTGTCCCCTCCCCATGACATCAAAATGCCATGTCTAGAATCCTCTATGACTGCCAAGAGCTGGCAGGGAACAGGGAGGGGGAAGTAGAACAGGCAGAAGGAAGCTCAACCCTGGAGCGGCTTTGAACCGAGCGCATCCCGCAGCCTAGCCTACACATTTTCCTGGGGGCTCCATTATACCATGGGTGTTATTTCTCTTGCATGGAGAGGCAAGACAGCTCCATAGATCTACAGCAGCCTTTCAAACAGATGGCTTGGACTGTAGAACCTATCTTCCCCAGCAAGCATGCTGGATAGAGATGGTGGGAGCCAGCCATTGCCCACCTCGGCACTCCAAGATCCACTGGAGAAGGATGATTTAGGCCTGGAGACAAACACCCTTTGCTGGCAAGCACAGCCTGCCGCATGCTTGCTCTGGCGCCCGTGCCCAGCTGGTGGGCTTCCCAGGGTATCCCATTGGCCCCTGCAGCAAACAGGATGCCAGATCAGATGGGCCTTCAGTGGCTGCACTTTGGCCACTGTGAAGTCCTTAACCTGGGTACCTTAGACATGCAAGCCATTCTCTGCAGAAGGTTTCCGCTTTGGGCAAGCAGCAATGCTCCAAAGACTTGGGGGGCGGGAGGAGAGGGGGGTTGAGAGAGACTGAAAGATCTGATTTGCAGCCCTGTACCCCAAGATCCTTGCAAATGAAGATGGTGGGGACTGAACAGACAATCTTCCACATGCACCACAGCACTTCCTACGCTGGCCCTGAGTTACTCCACCCAAGAACTGCACAATAAAACAAACCCCCACTGTGATGCAAGCAAACACTCATCTGGGCCTTTCTAGTTATGCAGCACACTAGTTTAACAGATAATCCCATTTCCCAGGAAGCAGTGGCCACCAAAGTGTAGCGATTTAGCAGAGACCCATACCAAGCTACAGTTCCCAGGACTTTCTGGGAGAAGCCACAGCAGCTTAAGGAGCATACAGTCAATCAAGATCCAGTTGTAATGCTGGCGGGGAGGCATCTTTCAGAGGATGGTGGGACACAGACTCAGAAATGGGGAAGGAGTTCTTGGTCTACTCGATCATGAACCCTTTCTGCAGCGGGTGGGGACACCCAAGAAGAAGGGAGGCTCTTCTTTCTGGCCTACAAGAGCTTCCCTTCCTCCTGCTCATCCCCACCTGCAACTTTGCAACTCTTCCTCCTCACTTGACAACAGGGGATGGGCAGATTCTCCAAGGGGGCAAATGCTGCTATCTAAGGTATTCCTTGACCCAGCTTAGCCGAATTGTGCTAACAGACAAACAACCCTTTTCTCTAAATTTGTTGGCATTTGGCGAGGACTCTGGGGGAGCATGCACCTCTTATGTGTCCATCTTACGGTGAGTCAAGGCACAGCCCAGTCAGAAGCTGGTCCGGGCAGCTTTGGACCTCCAGTTGCTGGGGCCCTTATACATCAGTCTCTCTGAGCAGGTGGAAGCAGCTGTGGTCCAGAGCAGGACACATGCAGATGGACTCTTCCGAGCCCTTTGGCAAGGGCATCTCATCTTTCTCCAGCAGAGATATGTCCTCTGCTTGAAGCCCAGGCACCAGGGAAGCTGAAGTGAAGGCCTTCTTCTGCAGATCGGAAGAGTCCCCAGGAGCCTGCATGGGCATTAGAGGAGCATGATCAGTCTGCTGGCAACGCTGGCACGCCACAGGGTGGGGTGGGGGGTGACAGGGCCATGTTGGACAGGGTTGCAGGAGTCTCAGGTGCACAACAAAGGGGATTCCAAAGGGGGCAGTGTCCCTCAGTCCCGGGTTATCAAACAACTTTCAGAACACTGGACCCTTGCATAAAAATTCATCCTGCAGGGCTTGAGACATCTCACTCTGGAGCTCCAGAATCCTGCAGGCCACACCCTGTTACAGGGCCTCTGCTTCAACTTACAGCCAGTCTATTCTCCATCCCTGTTCACTCCCTGTTTGAAAACTGATGGAGCGGCTGTGGACCATTGTGGGTGGCAATGGCAAAGCAGAGTTCGTGGCCATCTGGGGTGCAGGGTGATGCTTAGCCAACAGCCGCCCTGTCCCTGTTGGCAGGGTAGGGAGGCGGATGGCGTCTCTGCAGGCCAGAGCTGGGCTTTGTGATCCCAGTGCATTCTCTGATGTATACTTGACTGCCAGCTCAAGTCTGAACCAAGGTGCCAGGGGTCTTTCACTATCTGCACCAAAGCACCTCCTGGCATGCCTCAAACTCTCTGTAAAAAAATAAAAAGAAATGGCAAGGACTAACTGGTTTTCACCCTAAACTTCAGTGAACTCCCACCAGGAGGCATCATGGTTGCTGAATTAATCTTGCCTCCCAATTTCCTCCCCAAACATCCCTGCCCCTCTGGACATTTCCTGCTCCGCACCTTGGTGGATGGTTTATTGTCTCCCTCAGGAGCGACCAAGGACGACTGCTTCATGATGTCCCACCAGAGGACATTTGGCTGCTTCAAGCTGTTTTTAGCAGGCCCTGAAATCAAAGGAACAAACGCAGGGGTGAAACATAGAAACAGAGTGAGCCAGAAGGGGCCTCCTGGGCCATCCAGTCTAGCCCCTGGCTCCAGCCTGCTCCGCTCACGACATGCCCACCATGTGGGTGTCCAATCTTTCCTTGAACACCCTCCCTGATGGGGCCTCCACCACCTCCCATGGAAGCCCATTCCATATCCTAGGGGTCCTAACTGTCAGGAGCTACTGCCAGGAAGGAAGTACTTCCTGACATTCAACCCAAACCCTGGTTCCTTGAGCTTTGCCCCACTGGAACACGTCCTGCCCTCCACTGCAGGGGAGAACAGGTCCTGGCCCTCCTCCACATGACATCCCCTCGCATACCTACCTAGAAGTCGCTAAAAGATCCCTCCGAGTCTCCTCCAGGCAGAAAAGGCCCAGCTCCCTCCATCTCTTCTCATATGTCATCCCTCCCAACTCAGTTACATCCTTGTGACCCTGTGCTGGATCGATTGTAACTAGTTACGTCTCTCCTATAATGTGGAGCCTAGAACTGGACACAGTCCTCCAGTTGTGGGCACACAAGAGTTGTGCAGAGCAGTATCAACACCTCCCTACCTTTGGCTACTGGGTGATATAGAAATGTTATAAATATTTAGACATAAATAAGCAGACAAGAACCAGGAAAACATCTAAATTAAGCTGTCTCCTCAAATGCTCAGAAGTTGAGCAGAATTTCAGCCTAGTGCCAAAAGGATAGCAATGCCAGATGGGTCCACTGGGGGAGCCACACTTGGGGCCACTAGTCTCCTCCTTGTCACCTTCAGGACCAGTGGGGTAGGGCAGGCTGGACTTGGGGTCCTACTGCTCAGCACTGCCCCAAAACAGAACTCAGTGCTCCACCTGAAAGAGGTCCAAATGTTGTTGCTAGTTGCGAAGTCGCATCCAACGCTTCATGACCCCATGGACAACACTTCTCCAGGACCCCCTGTCCTCCACCAGCCCCCGGAGTCCAGCTAAGTTCACGCCGACTGCTTCACTGACTCCATCCAGCCACCTCATTCTCTGCCGCCCCCTTCTTCTTTTGCCGTCAATTGTTCCCAGCATGAGGCTCTTCTCCAGGGAGTCCTTCCTTCTCAGAGGTCCAAATGCATCTGCGTCTTTATTCCAATCCATTTTTCTTATTGAACCCAGGTTTATAAATTGCTGTGAGCCACTCAAAGAGGTGGCATGCAGATCCCAAAATCAGAACAGTAGCTTTGGATGGGGTCCAACCCCCAGCTCAGGGCAGGACTCCCAGTTAAACTCTCCCTCTCAGTGGGGTGCCCAGTTGCATCTTGAATGCCTCTGCTGTGGAAGAGCCCTGCACCTCTCTAGGAAATGTATAACATCCTAATTTGACACATTTCAATCACAAAAAGAAAAAAGAATAGTTCCCCCAAGCACCCTTGAAAATAATTAATATACTGCATTAACAAACAACTTTGAGCCTTTAATCTAGTTTCCAAAACTGACACAAAAGAAGAATTCTGCACAGCTGGTTACCTTTCAGGCAGCTTGTCAGGATCCCAATGACAACCGTGGTTAAGGTTCCCAAAGCACCATAGTAGAGGTAAGATATGGCATAGAAGTTGTCTGCAATGGCCGGCCTGTGAAGGAAACATAGAAACAGAGCGAGTCAGAAGGGGCCTCCCGGGCCATCTAGTCTGACCCCCGGCTCCAGCCAGCTCCACTCACGACATGCCCACCATGTGGACGTCCAGCCTATAGCCATGTGGGAAATCTTTGATGAAAGGACTCCTGTATGAGCTGGGCCCCCACCAGACCCCCTAAATCTGCAGCATTGGGTGCACACACATGACATGGCCTTCTGCTAGGTCTCGTCACGGGTACACCTCTCACTTATTTCTTCCTAACTCGCCTCCCTGGTTCTCACAAGACAAGGATGGATGAGTTTCTCATCTTGTCTGTGACTAGAGCTTGCCACATTCTCAGCACATGGGTATTTTGCATCAAACCCATCCGCCCCATAACCAATGCAGAATGCTGGTCCAAAGTTTGCACTATTTGGAAAAAAATATTCTTGGTGCTTTATTTGCTGGATGGAAGCATGCATTTGGGTACACGCTTCTAGGAACTGCATCCTCAGACATGCAGTTTTCCCATCTGGGCAGCAACGACAAGTGCCTGGAGCTGGGGCGGTGAGGGCGGCACCTCCAGGCAGCCTTTGCAGAGCCCAGCTGTCCTCCTGGCACTCCCAGCTCGCACCCGGCCTCCCTCTCACCTCTCTGCAGCTTCTGAGACGTTCCGCGGGGGTAGTGGCCCAAACAAAACCGTGCTGTTCGCCCCTGCAGAGGTGTTGTAGAGCGGGCAGAAGTCTCCGTAGGACGGGAGCACACCCATGGTGGCAGGGCTGGGTGGGTAAATGGTCCCCCCAACCGCTACCCAGAGGGAGAGGATGACGCCGGTGCCGAGGCCGGAGAAAACCCCCTGGAAGCAACGAGGAGGCCGAGGTTGACATGAGGGCCGGGCAGCAGGACGCCCTGCTCCTGCAGAACCAGCTGACTCCTTTGGCTGCCAGCTTTGCAGTGGTTGCAGGCAGCACAACTCTGCCCAGCAGTCACAGATGCCACCGGTACTTCCCACAAGTTATGTTTACTTGCTGCACAAGGACCCTGCGAGGAAGTTCAGGCTGAAAATCAGCAACTGGGCCAAGTCACCTGCCATTCTTTGTGGGGTTGAACCATGGTCTCCTCAAGCCTAGTCCAGGACTCTGTCCACCATGCCACTCTGGGGATGGCGCAAGGGGCCTTGGGATGCCTCCACCTATTGCCAGGGAGTGTCTGGGGCTGCTGGCCCCACGGGTTTGCCCTCCTTTGCTCACAGTGCCCACCTCCACATTGCCACAAGGGCCCTTCTGTTTTTTGCTGCTTGTGAATGGGGAACAAAACCCAGAAAGGAATCATTTCAGGCCACTGCTCCCCTGTAAGATTTTAGGGAAAAGGCAGCTCTCCTAGGCTACCAGCTTGATCATGAGGACATGATCCTTGTGGAAGCTCTAAGCCACTCCCCAGTCGCAGTGTTCCCCTTCCAATTCATTCTCTGGTGGCCAGACTATGCCCCAGCCTCCTTTGCATTCCCAAATGTGTCCCATCTGTCAGGAGGACTTACCACGGTGTTGCACATTGGTATGAACATCCCCAAGATGAACACCCCCAAAAGGGGGCCACTGATGACCCCCATGACAGTAAAGGAACCCTACAAGGAGGAAGACAAAAGACAGAAGGAAACATGTTGGCGACATACAGGGATGTGAGGGGGTGTCACACGGAGGGGGGCAGAGACCTGTTCTCCCCTGCAGAGGAAGGCAGGACGCGCACCAGGGGAGCCAAGCTCAGGGAGCCAAGGTTCAACTTGGATGCCAGGAAGCACTTCCTGGCAGTCAGGACCCCGAGGGTGAGGAATGGGCTTCCACGAGAGGTCGCTGAGGCCCCATTGGTGAGGGTGTTCAAGGACAGGCTGGACGTGCACATGGTGGGCATGTCATGAGCGGAACTGGCTGGAGCCGGGGGTCAGACTAGATGGCCCGGGAGACCCCTTCTGACTCACTCTGTTTCTATGTTGGCAACACCCCAACCCTGCAGACCTGCAATGCCTCAGTTGGCACTGGCACAAAAGGTCCATTGAGAAGCAGGCATGGCTCCTGAACTGACCGGTGTAAACCCCACCAAATTCTGTAGGTGTGAACTTACTGCACACTTACTCCAAGCAGCCTTTATAGGATCAGGACCAATGCTGATCCCTGAGGGCTTCCATGCAGGTTTCAGATTTTTTGGACAGGAAATGATCTAAGGTTGCCGCCCCACTACTGAATATTTTTATTATTTGTATTAAAATATTTGTGGATCACCTTTCTGTTCCCAAGACAATCTAAACGAATTATAATAGCAATGAATGTTTCTAGTCCTCATGGCTGCCTTCTGTCTCTCCAGACCTTTGGTCCACCAAACTAAGTTTGGTCAACATGGTCTAGCAGCAGCTATGGCTCTTGAGGGTGAGAGGCAGATTTTTTTTTATTTTATTTTTTGCTGACCTTACATCTTGCCAGAGATGAAACCTGGTCATCTTGCATACAAAGCAGGGCCTCGCCTTTGGAGCTGCAACCCTGCCTTAGCAGGTGGAGGTGCGCAAGATTGGGAAGCGGGGAACAGACAGAGGAGCTATTGAGCATGAAGGACGCTGCGCAGAGTTGGCAGGATGGTCATGGGCTGATTTATTGACATTATTTGCACCTGGGAACTTGCAGCCCTATCAAGATGGATGCAGTTTAGACTGCAAACAGTTTTTCTTGCAATTACAGGTATGAATCATGTTGTTGTGGAGTTCTTTTTTTTAAACCAAAGGGTCAAGTAACCTAGGTATAAGAGAAGAATAGAATGCACTGGGGGAAAGGTTGGTGCTGGAAGGGGCGCGAGTTACCTGCAGCACTCCACCACCCAGGAGCGACGACAGAGCCGCCACAGTGATGCACGACGTGCCGTAGATCAGTGCTGGGGGCATGAAAACAGACAGTTTCCCCCGTCAGATCTTTGCTTCTGTGGAAAGCAAAGCCAACACCATGTGGCATCTTCTTCTTGAATGGCAAAACAAGCCCCTCACTTCCATGAAGGGTCCCCTCCCAGAGGAAGGGTGCTTGGTGGCTGCTCGAGCAGAGGGCCCAGGCTGCCCCCCATGTGCCACGTACACTGGCTGCTCGGGAGCAGGGTGGCAGGGAGCTGTCCCTCTCCCATCTTGCAGCAGCTGGGGAGTGAGGAGCAGCACGCCAGGCAAGATGGATCCCATGTTCCTAACTCCTTGACCCACTGAGGATCGGCGGAAGGGTGTGGGGCATTCGAGGGGTCCTCTATGCGTCAGGGAGCTCTGGCACGCATGTGCGTCAGGGAACTAGTGAGTGAGTGTGCGCAGATGCGTCTCTGCACACAGGCAGCACACAGAGCACCCCTGGGATGCGCTCGGGAAAGCACCGCCCTCTCCCCCCGCCCTGGCGCTCCACTCACAAAGTCCTTTGGAGACGAGGGTGAGCTTCTGCGGTGACAGGCGGGGCAGGTTCGGCTTGATCAAGTCCTCCACGGTGACAGCAGCCATGGCGTTGATGCTCGTGGAGGCCGTGCTGGGAGGTGGAGAAGAGGGTCAGGCATTCCAGGCTCGCTGGACAGCGGGACTGGCACCCGTGTCCCCTTTCAGCAGTGTGCAGGTTCCCATCTGGGGCAAGTCCAAGCAGGGCCAGGCACCCTCCAGCAAAACCCAGGTGCCGCGAGGAGCATGGGAGCCTCACCGCTGGCTGCACTCAGCAACAACGCCGCACACACCAGGACTAGGCATGAGCTGAGCACAGCTCGTTGTTGAACTGTGGGCGGTTGTTGAAATGCTGCTTCATTGCACTGCTTGAACTCAGCTGCAACCAAAGCGCCACGGCTGATCAACCGCAAACCGCTCATGAAGAGAACCCTTGCTTCGTTGTTGGGTTGAAAATTCTGGGTTGTTCACCAGGGCATGTTATGTTGCCCCAGTCTGAACAACATGATAACCCACGCTTCCACTGCAACTCTGTTCCTGCTTCTACCAGCCCTTTCTCAAGAACCAGGAGAACTAATACCTTTCCTTTATTTTAAAGGAAAGGACCATAACTCGGTGACAGAGCATCTTCTTTGCATGCAGAAGGTCCCGGGTTCAATTCCCAGTAGCACTTCCAGGTAGGGCTGGGAAAGAATCCTCCCTGAGACCCAAAGAGCAGTGCTGCCAGTCTGTGTCAACAATACTGAGCTAGGTTGACAATGGTTGATCCTAGCTCAGGTCCTGCAAGCATTTAGTTTAATTGCTTTGTCTTTAGCTGTGCTAGACATTGGAGCATGCAAAATTTTGCTGAATGAGGAAGGGGTGAATTTTGGCATCCACTCACTGCCATCTCGTATTTCACTGCCAGAGGTCGCTGGAGATCTTCTCCAGGCTGCCTTTCTGAACAACACAGACTCTTAATATGAACCAGCAAGACTGTCCTTGTGCTGGGAGCTGCTCAGACCTGTAGCCCGAGGAGAGATCTCTCACACCACCTGGTTTCAGACAGCAGGATAACCCTCACATCACCTGGGAGAGGGTTATCACACTGGGCCATTCACTCTGGGGGAAGTGAAGGGGCTTGGACTTACCTGAGTGTTCCACTGTATGCACAGGCCAGGAAGAGTCCGGGGACCCCCGGGTACTTCTCAAAGATATCCAAAACCAAATAAGGCACATACTGGGGAAAGTCAAGAAGAGGAGAGACCCCTTAAGCAAAAGGCCAAACTTTGCAAGTCAAACATGGCCCAGCTGTGTGATGTGGCTGCAGAAAAGGCAAATAGGAAACTAGGCCACGGGATCAGAACCACCATTCCCAAGCAGTAACAGCCCCAGCTTCCTCCTCCCCAGCTAGTCCTTGCCTGGAAGGTCCTATCCTATTCTGGGCTGCACACTTTAAGAAAGAGCCAGGATACCACCAAAAATGATTTTGGGGAGTTCTTACACACACTTGACTGATACCCCTGATGCTTATTGTTTTGCATTTTACTGTATGATGTTTGCTTTAATATTTGCTCTGGAATAGAATGGTTATGTGGCTTTTAAATTTTGCTTTGCTTTTTTAACTGTTCATAATCTGCCCAGAGGTCAATCTGGCCGGGCTCCTTGCTTGTGCAACCCTTCACTCCATGGTTGCTCAAACTACGGCCCGTGGGCCAAATGTGGCCCGCCAAGCCCATTTAACTGGCCCGCCCCAGAAGTTTTGCACTCCCGAGTGCAGGTGTGCACGCACGGGCTCGCAGCTTGCTCACGCAGGGATCAGTTTGGACTCGCTCAGTGAAAACGATCTCCGCTCGAACAAGCGGCTGCCTCGCCCCACACGCCCCTCGCCCCCGCCCCTGCCAGCACCTTTCAACTGGCCCCCTGTCGGAAAAGTTTGAGGGCCTCTGCTTGACTTCCTCCCACTGAAAGCAGTTCTGTTCGCTGCCTGAACATTCGCACTCCACCCTCGGCTAGGCAGGGCAGCAGGTGAGTACCTGGTCAGGTGCTGAGATATATCCGGCCAACAGCGGGTCGCAGTCCTTGTAGAGCGCAAACATCACAATGCCACAGCCCACCGCGCTGGAAACGATGATGAAGAGGCCCACTTGATTGACCAGCAAAGCCCTTCAGTGGCGTGGGGAGCAGAGCAGGACCGGGGGAGTGGGGGGGGGACCACAGGAAGAGGACAGCAGTGAGTGCAGGGAACCGGGCGTGTCCAAGGGGCAGTTCGAGGGTGAGGGACCTGCTCGTTGTTGCACAGAACCAGCCCCCCATGGCCCCCTGCTCTGGCATCCGCTTTGGGCTCCCTTCTCCCTGCCTGAGCCACCAGGGTTGTGAACCTGGAGTGTCCCTGGCTAAAGTAGCAGCACTGAATGATTCCCCGGATCAAGACACTGTAGAGCCATCAGGTGGCATCAGGGCAGGCCATGCAGGTGTCCCTCCAGGTGCCCTCAAGGGGCATGCAAGGCCAGGAGCAGCCTTGCCCATTACGGCCATGGCTGGTGTGGCAGGGTGCAGTCCGGCACCAAACACATGTTTCTCCGGGGATTGAGCCCCCAGGCCAGAAACGCAGCCCCAGGCCCAGGCCCAGGCTCCGGTGACGCAGCACCCAAAGAACAATGGCTGCTGGACCAGCCTCTTTTAAATACTGTGTTTTTCAAAACCCCCAGGAAATAGCAAGCAGGTGGGGCAGAGCTGGAGGGTGCCAAGGAGGCCTCCGTGGGCACCACACGGGTGGCAGGCAGACCTGTGGCCTTCCAGCCCAGAAAGCAGCTTGCCATGCCCTTCTTCAGAGAAATGTGGGTCTAGGCCCTCGCCCTTTTGTGGACTAAGGGCCGCGGCTCAGTGCAGGGCACGCATGCTGCACACCGAGGTGATGGGCACGTCCCGATGTGCATCCCCACCAGGCAGGGCAAGGAACAGCCTGAGCCAGAACCCCGGGAGCTGCGCCAAGTGGCTCAGGGACCAGAGTCAGGAGCAGGATTGGGCCGAGGCCTGGCCTCTGTGCCAGAATGAGAGCCGGAGCTCCCAGCAGGGGGCTGCTCCTGACACCTGGAGGAGTTTTCCTTTTCCTAATCGGCAAGGACAAGCCCTGTCTGCCACTGATAGTCTTTGTGACCCCCATGGGCTGAGCCCAGGTGGGGTGACAAGGAAAGCATGGGGCACAGCTGGCAGGTTATCAAGCCGGTGGAGACATGGCCTGAGTCTATAGACTCAGGTGGATGCAGCTTGGCAGGCACTCCCGTGACGTAACCCTGATACTGGATGAAAGTGGGGGAAAGAACACCTGCGCTGATAAAGAAGCCGCAGACACTCTGCCAGGAGAAAGACGCTGCCTTGGACGTGCATTCCTGCCACCGCACCAGCCACCCGACCCGTCCCAAGGGCTTGAGCTGCGAAGGAGCAGCCGCCTCCCCTCCTCCAGCTGCGGCTCCAGCGTCAGCAGGCGGCGGCTCCTCATCTCTGTGGTCACCGTGCTGAACCCCTGGAGAGATGAAGGCCCTTTCCAAAGTGCAGGCCAAGGCCTGGAGTGTCCGCTGCTGCCTCCCCTCCGCTCCTCAGGCAGCTCACGGGTATTTGTCCCCGCAGCAGGCCTTCATCCACCAATCCTGCAGCACCTTAAATTGGCCAAGGCTTGATCTGCGGCAAGCACATTTGTGGATCCTGGGCATCTGCTCCCCATGAGCCATAATAAGTTCAAATCCCCAAGGGGAGGCAAGACTTTTGGCTCTCTCTCTCCACAACATGGCCATTTCTGGCACCACATCAGCTTTTCTCGACCTCAGTTGTGCTTGAGTCGGACTGAACTCCAGGCGTGACCCTAAGGAGAGGACTTCCATCTCCCCAACTCACAGTTTTGCTTCTTTCTCTGTCTTGCAGGCCACATATCGCTGGACCTGGGCCTGATTCACGCCATACATGGAAAGCCAAACCAGTGTCCCACCACAGATGAAAGTCCAAAAAGTGTAACGGCTGCGGGGATCCAAGTTGAAGCTGCAGGATGGAAGGAATTGGGGAGAAATGAATCGACCATTCCAATTGCTATTTGCTGAGCCTCAGAGTGGCTAGATCTCATGAAGCTGACGCTCAAGGTTGGGAGCTGTAGTGAAGCAAGCCCAGAGACACTTGGAGGTTTTTTTTAAAAAGGGAACCCAACCTTCTTTTTCCTTCCCTGATCTCTGCTGAGCGATGATCAGCTTTCCCCACATATTTTCAAGGTATATCTAAAATGCTGGTTTTGGGGTGGCTCTCAACTGCTGTTGCAAGTGCAGAGGGAAGGCAGGCATGGAAGAGGAGCAGGGGCAGTCACTGTCCGTGGGGCAGTTATCCAACTGCAGCAGCCCCTTGCTTCAAGGGGACATTCTCTCTCCTGCACCTCCACTGCCCCATGGGAAAGGAGGAGGAGGAGGAAGGGGAGCAGAAGCAAGCCAAGGGAATGTCCCCCCGCCTTTTCAAGGCTGAGAGCTGGTGGGGGCAGGGGCCATCTCCTACTGATTAATTGCAAGATATTCTGGGAGGCTTTGATTTTTTTAAAAAGCTTTTTAAGGCTGAAGAGTGAGAAAAAAATATTTGAAAGGAACAAATAAATTCAGCAGCAGATTGGAATGGGGGAGCAATGTCTATAACTGGTAGACAAAGTTCTCCCCCTACCATTTTTAAAATATGATTTTTAAATGCAGGGACTTCTTTCCTGAACATTTTTATGCTCTCAAAGCAACAATAGTAAAAATAAAAGTTGGGCCCAAGGCCAAGGGGGAATGCTGGTGAGGACCTACTCATCCAAATTGATCCTGGAATGGTTGAATGCGATGGACAGGACTTGGTCTGGCCCTCCCATCAGGAGGGTCCCCTGGATCAAGATGGCCACAAAGCCGGACAGCATGACGAAGACCTGGAAAACGTCTGTCCAGATGACGGCCTTCATACCACCCTGAGAGACAGGAGGGAAAGTTACCAGCACAAGAACAGGCATTACAGTTAAACCACCTTGTTTCATTTCTATCTGGAGGGTGTCGTCCCCGCTCTTCATCCCAAGGTGCCCTAAAGTGATCAAGTCATGCAGTCCCTGGCCCCAAGCTTATGAGCTAAAAAGGCACAACACAAAAAGAAATTGGACAGGGAGGGTGGAAAAGCAAATTGAGGCCTTTGATCCAAGTCACAAATTTCTTACATTTATCAATTGATGTCACATACAGCTCAACAGGAAGATAAGGCAAAGGTTTGGCACCAGGTTATGAAATGGCTTGATACCAGGTTACTTCAAGGGTGGCTTCACCAGTAGACAAGCTTTTGGCCATTCAGATATTTTGGCCTGCAGGTCATCTCTCACCATGTGCTTAGATATCTGGGAAAGGCATATTTTTGCCCATCCCAACCTATACCCATCTGAATCTGTCCAGGTATTAAGGATTATGTCAGAGGCCTTATTTGTAGGGCCACCTGTGAAATTTGTTCAGTTGGCATGCAGGATAGCCAGGGCCTTCCTGGTTGTGGCCCCCAGGTACCAAAATTCTCTTCCCACTCACCTGTGTATGGTGACACCCCTACCAGTGTTTACAAAAACAAATTACTGTATGAGGAAGAGGCCCATAGAATCTGCCTTGCCTATTCTCCATGTATCCCCAAACTATTTCCATAGTGAGAGGGAAATATGTATGGGGGGTGGGGAGTTTTCCTACAAAATGTCCAACAGGATTGGTTCAGGGGTCATCTGGAAAAAGAGGAGATCTCTGAGAACATGTGACATATACTCACAATGGTGGTATAAAATGTGCAGATGACACCAGTGGAGAGGAGGGAAGCCCAGATGTCTAGCCCAGTCACTGGAAGCATGAGAAACGGGGTGGATTAGAAGGCTATCTCCCAAAGCTGACCTTACTCCTGTAGACGTTTTAGGGGGCAAAGTAAGGGGAGACGGGATAGGTGTGCAAAGAATGGAGGAGAAGGCATTTCCCCCCACCTCCGTAATGCTACAGCCCAAAGTCGTCCCATGAAGCTGGTTGGAGGGGTGCTCCGGAGGGACCACTTCATGTAGCACACGCTTGACTATGGGAGGCACGTCAGACCGTGGCCCACCAATCTGCATGGCTTTAGGGGGGACCAGACAGGTGCATGGAGGAGAAGGACACCAGGGGCTGCTGGTCCTGGTGGTCCCAGGCTCCCCCTGCTGCTAAAGGCAGCAGGCTTGTGTGCCAGTTGCGGGGAACATGGGCAGGAGGGTGCTGTCACAGTCCCGTCCGTGAGCTTCCTTCCCACAGATCAGCCACTGCACCCACACGGCGGTGTTTTCAAGCCTCAGCTCCTTTCCAACAGGCTGAGGAAGGAATGGACACATTTTGCGGAGTTCTTGTTTCAAAAAGAACGACAAAATTCGCCCATCCCTAGCTAAGAAATCTTGGTAGCATAATTTCCATAAGGTGAGCACCTTCTAAATTGCTGAGCCACCCCCAGCACAGACGGAATCCAAAAGTAACTTAAGGATGTGATATGAGGCAGACAGAGGAGGAAGCAAATGCCACCGGATTTACTTCCGCAGAGACATGCACAGGGTCAAGTTGTACAAAGGAGCACAGAACATACCCTGGTTGAGTATGAGGGCTGGGGCATAGATCACAATTCCAGTATACAGCATCTGGGTAGGGGAAGAAAAGGCACAGAATCATAGAATCACAGAATAGCTGAGCTGGAAGGGGCCAGAGGACCACCAGGCTGAACATGCCCAGTTCCCTCAATCACTCCTCACAGAGCTTGGTTTCCAGTCCCCAGATTGTCCTTGCTGCCCTCTTTTCTACTCTTTCCAGCTTGTCCACATCGTTCATGCCTGAACGCCATCTGAGATCTGCATTCAAGTCCTCAAAGGAGAAGAGAATTTGAGCTCTGTGCTTGCAAGGAAACAGCTTCATCCCTTGTTCGGGTCAGTGTCTCCAGGGAGGGCTGAAGGGAAGAGCCCCCCTGCCCGCAGCGTCTCTAGAGAGGTGCTACCAGCCCACGTTGCTGGTGTGGAGCATGACGGACCACTTGGCATGTTGCAGTGCTTGGTGGAGGAGGCTGGACCTTTGAAGGAGACCTCAGTGGTGCTGGACCTGTTTTAGGGCTCCTTAAAAGTTCAGACTGGAGCCCAGAGTGGCACACCATTTCCCAAGTGGCCGAACAGTTTGCCTGCACAGTGACTCTCTTTCTGTTTAAGGCAGCCCTTGAAAAGCAGAGCCACTTTTTGTAATCCGGAAATTATTGCAACCTGGATTTCCGATATTATGAGTGTCTTCCATGGAAAGGGTTCACTGTTGTGTTTATGCTTTTTGGTTCATGCGAAAGTTGCATTTCTTGTGTTGCTTTTATCATAGGAAAGAAAGATGCACATTGCCAAACAAACGGCAAACTTTTCCTGGTATCCCATTTTGTTGGATGACAGGCCTTCTTTTTAAAGGAAAGGAAGGAAAGGAATTCCTGTGGATTTTACTCCACTAGTCAAAATGGCTATGCAGGGCAGTGCTATCTCCATTTCACTTCTTTCTAAAAACAGCCCTTCATTTGGGTTTTGAGGACTAGCACCTCGCTGTGTTTCAAGGGCAGAGCTCCACATGTGGAAGGTTCTGAGTTGACTCTCTGGCATCTCCAGGTAGGATGGGAAAAACTCCCACCTGCAAGAGCTGTTGCTACCAGGCATTCTCAGCCAGAGGGAGCCAGGGGAACTGCAGGCAGCCTCCTCCTCCCCAAGACACCTCTTCATTCCCACTGGAGGCAAGCATGTCCCAAAGCACCTACCGTGGCAATGATGTACTGGATTGTTCCACACAGACGGACTTTCCTGGAGAACCTCAGCTCCAGATACTGCAAGACAAGATTAGGAAAAGGAGCTGAGAATAAGGAGGCTTACGAATGCTCGACCGCGGAATACTCTCCGAAGGGAGAGGAGCGGGGGATGGGCAGGCGGGCGCCATGGCAGCAGCATCACCTCGCAGCCTGAAGACCCGCAGGCTCCACTCTGCTCCTGGTTCTGTGCCTCCTGGTCCAGAACTGCACATCTGGGGGCTGTTTTGTGCCTGATGCATTTTGAGAGGGGGGCATTTGGCTGACCTGGGGGCCCAGCTTCTTCAGACAACTCCTCCCCTCAACAGCTGGCCATTTGGCAGCTCCCCAGCTCCTGCAGCTTTCCCCTGAAAGATGGAAATGCCTCTCCGAAGGCACTAAGAGCTTCAAACTAACCTAGGTTGTTATTTTCTGTATTTTTGTCCCCACCCTTGTTTGCCTTCAGACTTACCCATCAAGACCAGTCCCTAAGAACATGTGTATTTTTATTTCTTTTTTCAAACAATAATTTAAAAATACGTATTGAGTTTAAATGCATCTGTGTGCATGTTGTTTTTAATCTATTTTAAAGAAGAAAAGTGGAGAATTAAGGCTGACGAGGGGTGGCACGGACTTAAGATGAGGACAGATGAAAGCAAAATGGGCCAGCATCAGACCAGCTCATCCAGCCTCCCAGATGGTGCCTTCATCACAGGCAACCGTGTGAACTCCAGTTTCACTCCTGTGTCTGAAAACTGCAAGGAAAATGAAGTGCTTAATTAAAAAATGAAAAAAGCAGCGGCAGCGAATTTCCTTTTGTTGCAGCGTCACTGCTCCACAGCTCCACCTACAGGTTAGGTAGCAGAAAACCACAAAAGGAAGGCTCTTCACCTCACAGGGGAATCTCGATTCTCCCATGAAAGCAGAGGCAGATACAGACAATTAACAGCTGATTTAACAGTTTTGTGTGGGAAAATTCTGAGATTCCAACACACAAAGCCACAATGCAGTCGTTTTACGAAAAGCCGGATGAAGCCTGGCACACATTTTATTCGACTGTTTCTATTTAATGATTTACACCCTGCCTTTTGATTTCAAGAAGCCTTTCTCAAGCTGAAGCTGTCAAGATGCATAGTACTGCAACTCCCAAATTCCTCAGCAAGCATGGGGTGACGGGAGTTGTAGTCCAACACATCACAGAATGTGGCCTTCCATTCGTCTTTTGGTTATGGGGCAGTCGCATTGGTGCCCTGGAGTCCTGTGTTCATGTAGCACCAGTGCAGATCTCAGTGGAAAGATCTGCCTGTTGCCGAAGTCTTATTAAAGACAACAGGGAGTGTTCCAGGGAACATCACGCACAGAGAAACAGCAGAGTGCCCGGGGGCCGCTGAACGCGAAGAAACACAAAGCTCCAGCCTGCTTCTCTCCACCCAATGGAGATCTGATCCGGAGAAATCTGCCAGCAAAGTGGCTCTGGGGCTCAGCTCTCAAGCAGATCCCCTGCGGGTCCCTGCAAATCAAAGGGTGTTCAAGGACCGCTGCAGAGCCTGGTTCAAAAGCTGGCCACTCCAGGTCACTGTTCTAATTGGAACAACGATTAGAGGAGCGGGCGAGTTGCCGGCCACCCAGCTGTGGCTGGGCTGGGTTCTTGCAGCTGACACTCCACCAGCTCAGGCTCCCACATGTTCTCTGCTGAGCCTGCCGAGGTCACAGATCCCATCACAGCCATTCTTATTTCACAGCCCAAAAGCAAACTTCGTGCTCAGCAGTTGCATCCTCACAGACCTCCAAAAGCAACACAGTTCTCTGTTTATTTTTCATGTCCCAATCTCCTAAAAATACCATCTTTTCTTCCTATTGGGAGGAGATGAGCTGAGAGGAGAACTTTGCTCCCAACCTCTTCCATTGTCCTGCAATTGCCAAACAGGGACCTTGCCCTTTCCTGAAAGCAAGCAAGCAAGATGGGGCTGAGCATCTGCTTAGCGGAGCAAAAAGCAAGATCACTGGCCCCAGAAGAGCAAATGCTTGGCTATGGGGCTCATTTTACTCTTTTAGAATGGCAGCAGGGAAACTGCAGTGAGGAGACAGGTAAAAAAACGCTCATGCAACCCGTGGTCAGGAGAACGGGGGTTAGGACATGGAAGCCCTCCAAGAGTTTAGTCTCTGGGGGGCGCATTGGATGTAGATCTCCTCCTGATTGAGATGAGTACCTTCCAGAACCAGTTTGCTGGCATGGATCAAGGCAGAGGATTGAGGGGGGGCATGGTAGTGGGCTCTGTCATGATGAGCAACTTCTCATCATGACAGACCCCCCCCCCTTTGGAAGGCAATTTGGAATTTGGAAGGCACTCTGCTTCCAAATTTTAGAACTGCCCACCTTCATTTTTCAGCATAAAAATGCAGGGAAAGAAATCCATGGTGCTACTTTAAAAAAAGAAAGAGTGTGGTTTATCATCATGCTAAGAATGCGCACACTTGCCCCTCTGAAGTAGGTACACCAAAGGCACGCCTCTTTGTTACGCAAAGGAGATGGTCTCTCTGTCCACCATCTGGGGCTTGCTCTCTTGACCTCGCCCAAAAGTAACCAGAAGCTGGGCTGATCCCCAGTGGCTCTGGAGGGATTACTTGGGGATGCATCAAGAGCCTGGCTGGAGCAACCAGCCCATGTCTGACAGCCCGGGGCAGCCAAGTGGAGGCTGACATCCCCCAGGCACGAGGGGCAGATGACCCAGCAGCCACCAACCAGTCTGGCCCCAGAACGTGTCTGAAAGTTAACCCAGTCCAAGGCCAACATGCTTGCCCTAATGTTGCACATCTTTCGGAGCAGTGCATCCCCGGATGGCATTGGATCACAACTTTCTGCATTCTGCCCAGCCAATCAGCCCTCCTTTTGGAACCACGAGGACCAGAATTTTAGGAGAAGAGCCCCAGCTAAATTCAGTCCCTGACATCCCCAGGACCAGCCAGAGGCCAGCATCCCATCTCCGTCTAAATCCTGCCAAGCCAAGTCGTGCTCACGTGCAGCACCCCTGCTAGCATGCAGAAGCCCCTCCTCCCATGCCACCCCAGCAGCTCCACATGGGGGTAGGAAAAGCACAGAAACATAGAAACAGAGCGAGTCAGAAGGGGCCTCCCGGGCCATCTAGTCTGACCTCTGGCTCCAGCCGACTCTGCTCATGACATGCCCACCATGTGCCTGTCCAACCTATCCTTGGACACCCGCACCGATGGGGCCTCCACCACCTCCGGGGAAACGCATTCCACACCCTCAGGGTCCTGACTATCAGGAAGTGCTTCTTGGTATCCAAATGGAAAAAGACCCTGCCTGAACCCTCAGAGAGGCACCGTTTCCCAGTGATTTTGACAGACCTGAGCTTGAGGGACCATCCACCTGACCCAGGTTAAGGCAGATTCAGATGTTTCTTTTTAAAGCCGTACTTGATTCAGAACAATGAGGGCTAGAATCTTCCTTTATTTTCCAGAAGAGGAGCCAAAACCAGCAACTGTAATGAGCAGGGCCACTTTTCTATGGTAGAGTCCTTGTTTTGCATGCCAAAGGGCCCAGATTCAATTCCAAGCATCTTCAGGCAGAGCTGGGAAAGAGCGCAGCCTGAATCTCTGGAAAGCTATGGCTGCTGCCAGCCAGTGTCAGCAGTACTTGGCAATATGAACCAAGAGGAGTTTGACTCAGTATAAAGCAATTCCTGAAGATTCTACTTAAATTACCCCGTTTTTTCAAACCCATGAGGACTAGAATCTTGCATTATTAGTAAGAGTCTGGCCATATCTCAGTGGTAGAGACTCTGCTTAACATGCCATCAGGAAAGACTCCACTAGGGATATGCTCCAATGGGTGAAGAAAATGCTGGGCAAGCCAGAGAGCAGCCCAAACCATGCAAGGCAGTGGGTGGGATTGGGGGCCTGGAATTATGCAGAGCAGCTTGGGATTCGAAGGGATGCCTCCCCCACTCAAATCATGGAGGCACAAGTCTTCCCCGCTTTGCCACACACGCCTGGTGCTTGCAATGTGTAGGAAAACAGCAAGGGAGAGAGGAGCCGGCCTTGCTGGACACGCTTTGGCCAGCTACACAAACACCCTCGGCAGCCCAGCACGCAGGCGCCCATTGAGGCAGGGGCCTACGCAAGCCCTGCCTGCACAGTAGTCTCCTCCAACCAGCCCCTTGGACAATTTTTTCCACACTGCTCCAGGAACGGTGCCAGCACAAGCCATCCGTGGCCCCTGCCTCCTGGAAAGCTCTCCGTGGCACTTCAGGGCGTTCCGTTCCTCAGGCAGGCAAAGCAGGAGTGTGTTCTTGTGCCTGGGAAGGGCAGCCAGGAGCTGGGCAGCACCTCTGATGCCTCCTCGGAGAATCCCCAAGGAACTGAGCCCCAGCGACTGCATGTCCAGACTCCAGTGCTCTTGAATTGACAGCCGGGGCTATTTGTTCTTCCTCGCTGAAGGCAGAAGGATCGAGAGGGCTTCTGCCAAGGACTGCTTGCACACAACACGGGTCCTGACCCACCTTTCCTTTGAGGTTTCAAAGCAACCATGTGTTCATTGGTTCATTCATTTATTAAACTTGCCCTCCACACTCATTGTCCCATAGTTAAGAAAGCCCCACTCAGCCTTCAGATGCATTTGGCTCCACGTCCAAGCAATTCTATCCCCCTGTCTCATTTGAGCTATTTACTCCCTTCCTCTTGCAAAAAGCCCGAACTGGCAACAGCGTCCTCCTCTTCTCTGTTTTAGCCTCTCAACAGCCCTGTAAGGTAGATCAGGCTGAGCGGCAGTGGCTTGCCCAATGAGCACATTGTCTTTTGTGGTGCTTTAAGGAGAGGACTATTGCAGCACGTGCTCTGTCCATGAGGACTGGCTAGTTTCTGATGGAATATCAAGTGGCTGCTGTTGCTGGGACTCCTGCAAAGCAAAGGCCAAACTTGCTTAGGCTTTGCCAGGGGCAAGCAGCATGTAACTATGGCAGAGATCAGCAATGCTTCAGCTCAGCAACCTTCAAAAAGCTCTGACACCACCCCGTCCAAGG